GACGACCCTCACCGTTCATCCTTAGAATAAAGAGTTTATTAATAAATGACATTACTCTATCAAACTCACACCAACACATACAACTATTTCTTAAAACTAAGCTAAATCAAACAAACACCAAAACAAAAAGTGTAAATGAAATATATACTATGTTGTAACTTCATTTTATACCTTGATAAATCAAACCTTTTTCATGTAGTCTAACAAATGCCTCAACTACAGCATCTGCACAAATTATAAGGTGAGGTATCAGTATATATTATGGCATGAAGAAACAAATGCTAACTATTCAACAAAGTTGGCTCTACATCAATGATAAAAATCAGATAAATTTAATAAGACACAGAAAAATAATAAGAATAGCACTAAATAAAAGCAGTTATCAAAATTTAAATTAGGACCAACCATCCATATTTGTATGTTAGATCCATAAGTTTTCTAAAATGTGCTTATAGACTTTTCTTAGCAAGAGTTTTAACAAGTAGAAAACTGTCTTACGACTTAGCTGTTCATCAAGTGTAAAGTGCTCCCTAGACCAATCACAAGAAGCACCAAGTCTCTTGATCTGGTTTGTGATAGTTCCACCATATCTGAATGAAGTAAGAAAATATTATGAGATTGAGAAGGATGGAGAGAGAGAATAAAAATATATCATAACAATATTTTACTAATAATAAGTTAATCAAGGGCAATATCTATTTCTACATGTTATAATTTAAGATAGAATGATTCATATTATTAAGCTGAGAATACAAATTATATATACAAGGCTAGAAAGCTATTTTAGTAAGCATAATAATAGCTCCTAGACAACCAAATCCCTATGATGCAAGGATATTCCCATCATATACTGTAATTATAATCTGTTAAATAAGGAAACAATAAAACACAAATCCTGACAGAAATAATACAGCTAATAAAAATTCTAACACTCCGCCTCAAGCAGGTTAATAGGTATTTTCCATTCCCAGCATGGAAACAATACTCTCAAAATTGTTGTTCAGTTTCATTACAATATCTACGACGTTGTCCTGTGAAGAGACATAACGAGTGTCTGTTTAACTTTTCTTCGATGTTAATCTCAATATGTTTGGTTCCATCATGCTAAACTGGATTATGAGCTATGTTAATACAGATTTGTTATCACAATAAAGTCTCATCAATTCAACCAATTTTATTCTTAAGTTATCCAAGATGATCTTGAACCAGGGTAGTTCACATATCCTGTGTCCCATTGTCCTGAACTCTGCTTCAGCACTGGATCTGGCTAACACAATTTGTTTTTTACTCTTCCAAGTCACAAGATTCCCTCCAGTGTGATGTCTTGTAGTTGATCTTCTATTCACAATTGCTCCTGCATAGTCTGCATTTTTATATGCTTCCAGACTTATATTCCCATTTCATTCAAACAAAATTCCCCTGCCTGGGGTGCCTGTTAAATATTGTACAATTCTTAGTGCAGCTTGTAAGTGAACCTCCTTTGGTTGGTGCATGAACTGGCTAACTAGACTCATAGCAAATGCAACATCAAGTCTAGTGTGAGATAAATATATCTGCCAACTAGTCTTTGATACATTTCCTTGTCAACAGTAGTACCTTTTTCTGCATTTCCCAATTTCAGGTTTGGATCGATTGGTGTATTTACAGGCGTGCATGTTGTCTTACCAATTTCTTTCAACAAATCAGTATGTATTTCTATTGAGAGATGAATATTCCCTTTTTAGAATTGGCCAATTCAATTCCCAGAAAATATTTAAAATTTTCAAAAGGTCTTAATTAAATTCTTGGCCAAATGTTGGCCTAACAGTTCTTGCTCCTCCTAATCATCACTTGTCACTATAATATCATCCATATAAACCAGTAATATTGTCACTCCCCTTGACTTAGAGTGGAGGAATTCCACCATATCTGGGGCAATTCCATGTAAATCTCCTCTTCAATTTCTCCATGGAATGGAGGAAGGCCTTTTTAAAATCAAATTGTTGTAAGTTCCACCCATAATACGAGAGATCTCATATGAGTTTTTTTATGGAAATCAAATTGACAGACAATTTAGGAATATGAAAGAATTTTTAAGGGTTATGGATGGGCTTATTTGGACTTCTCCTTGACTTGCTACAATCATTAGAGAGCCATCAGCTATGGTTATTTTCTTGTTGCTAGGGCAAGGGGTGTAAGTTGAGAAATGTTTAGGTAGGGGTGTCACGTGGTCGGTCGCCCCAAAATCTAGTATCCAATATGGGTTATGGTTTTTATAAAAGGCATTAAGTTCAAATGAACAAAACTCACCAAACGTACTTGAATTTTCCAGAGAACAACTATCTGGTGACTTATCCATCTTTTTGAGGAATGATCTCATATGTTCTACTTCATCCTGGTTAAGTTGAATCACTCCTCCTCTGTTTTCTTCATCAGTTGCAACACCTATGTGTGCTTGTCCTCCCTTTCTACAGTTGTCTCCTTTTTTTCCCCACTCCTTGTCACAATTATGGGATCCCCAATTTCTACTAGGTGGCTTTCCGTGCAGCTTCCAACATTTATTATGAGTGTGGTGAGGCTTGTTACAGAAGGTACACCACATTCCTTCAGCTTTCTTCTCCATATTGGGTATTCCCTTCTTTTCCAAAGTTCTACAAACAAGTTGGGCCCAGTTCAAATAATTCTTCTCATTCAATCGGTAGGTCGTGTTGAGGTTCTATAGTTATTCCTAAGTGTGTTGTGACGCAATATTCACCACTTCAAGAATTTGGTATGCCGTGTCCACTAAGTACAACGACCCTAGGGCAGTGAATGAAGGCGACCCAAAAAAAAATGATTGACAGCAATGAAGGCTAGCAGCTATGGTTTGGTGTGCGATAGAAATGAAGGTTGTCCTAAAAGGGAAGGTGGCAGCAATGAAGGTTGTCGTCTACGGTTTTGATGTGCAAAGCCCAAGGCAGCACCCAGAATTCGAGAGCTTTGATACCATGTTATAATTTAGGGTAGAATGATTCATCTTATTATGCTGAGAATACAATCTATACATACAAGGCTAGAAAGCCATTTTAGGAAGTATAATAATAGCTCCTAGACAACGACATCCCTATGATTCAAGGATATCCCCATCATATATTGTAATTAAAATTTAATAATAACTTAAATAATGAGAGGGAGAAAAGAAATATTTTATTAATTAGAAACAAGATAATTAGATTCCCAACCAATCTCCTCTATTTGTAACAATCATCCTCCCTTAAAAAGGAAAATAAAACATGTTGAAATGAGTGTGTATATTCTAGGGATATTTTTCCTAATTTCTAGAGGCATTAGGATAATTTTATCCTAATAGTCCACTATTTACAATACACCCCCTCAAGTTGATAAATAAATATCAATCATCCCCAACTTGCCTAAAAAATATTGGAATTTTCCTAGAGGAAGTCGCTTAGTGCAGATGTCAACTAATTGAAGTCTTATAAGGACATGGTTTGTAACCATCTGGCCTCTCCCAAGATTATCTTTGAATAAGTGTCTGTCAATTTCCATATCTTTGGTCTTATAATGTAATGGATTATGAGCAAGGTTTATGGTGGACTTGTTATCACATTACAATTGCATATACACACCTCAAGCTTTTGAACTACAAACCGCATCCTACTTTTGACTTCTCTTAGTCACACCACAGTTTCTCCTAGGAATACACCACAGTTTCTCCTAAGAATACACCACACCCAGAGATAGATTTTATGTCAATAACGAAACATGCATAGTCTACATTAGTATATATCTTCAAGGCCAAAGTTTCCTTTTTTTCCTCCTTTAGTAGCCCTTATATGGGCTTGACTTCAAGTAATGAAGAATGTTGTCAATGCATGCATATGTCTTTCTCTCGGATCATGCATAAACTAGCTTATCACACTAACTGCATAAGCAATGTCTAGTCTCATTTGTGATAAATAAATAAGTTTTCCAACCAACCTCTAATATTAGGGTTTTTCTACCAGAGAACTCTCTTCACTTCCAAATATACGATTTTGTTCAATCCTAAGGTTCAACTTCCCATCTTACCCATTTCTTTGAAGAGATTGTAGATATCTTCTTTGGGAGATGAAAATCCCCCTTTTCGAATAAAAAAACATCTATTCAAAGAAAATACTTAAGCTTTTTCAGGCCATTCATCTCATGTTGAGAAGCCAATTTTTCCTTTAAAGTCAACTTCTCTATTTAATCATCTCCTGCAATAATCATGTCATCAACATATACAAGCAGTAGTGTATATTCTAGGGATATTTTTCCAAATTACTAAAGAAATATTAGGATATTTATCCTAATAGTCCCTTATGTACAACAGAACACTTGCTTAAAACGCTTCAATTCAAATATAGTTGGTCATGGGTTTGAGTTCGGAAACATCACCTTAGCATGTGAAGGGCAAGGTTGCATACAATGGCCCTCCCCTGTATCTTCAAATAAATAATGAGGAGCTTTGTGGCACCATATAATAATTTTTTATTGGAATAGTTGTTGAACTACTATTTGAGGCATGGTTAAGAAACCAGAAAAAATTATACAAGTATTTGAAAGATAACCCAAGTCCTGTCTCCTCAGACAAAAGATCTTTATCCACCCTTAGGCTCTAACGAACTAACAATAATGTCCCTTTTTTCCTATTACTCCCCTACCTTTTGTGGCCATCCAACCCCCTGAATATTCCCTCCAACAGGGCTAGCAAATTGCCAGCTTATCTACACGTTTAAGAACAGCCTCTAACAAACACAACAATCTGTCAGCTCATCTCAATCGTTTGACAAAATCATATCTAAAGATTCTCTTAATAAAATAAGGGTCTACAATCAAGGTTTTGACATCTAGATCTTATTAAGATAGGAAAAATAAACAAGAGAAATTCAAATAAATTAAGAGATATGATTATCCTAGTTAGTGATCCACGTCACTTTCCCGTAAGACTATATTATTACATAAGGGAACTAGGATATTAGAGCAAATCATATTTTAGACATTAAATATAGAGATATGGTAATTGTTTAAAGTCTCACATCGACTAGAAATATAGTCAACTCACAATATATATATATATATATATATATATATATATATATATATATATATATATATATATATATATATAAGTGCAAACCTCACCTTACAAGGCTGAGTTTTGTGGAATTGGTTAGGCTTAAGTTCACTTCTTAACATGGTATCAGAGCCATGGTTTAGTATCTATTCTAGCGAAATTTGATGTTTATTGGGTCTATTTTTCCATCCGTTGTTAGGTCACTATTGGACCACCCATTAATGTTTAGTCTCACGCTTGAGATAATATACCTCGGCATGAAGGGGTGTGTTGAAAGTTCCATATCGACTATAGATAAGACGAATTCACAATATATATGTGGATGCAAACCTTACCTTACAAACCGGTTTTGTAAGATTGAATTAGGCTTAAAGTCCACTTCTTAACAATAATCAAAAGATTCTTTTTAGATCAGATTCTTATCTATTGACATTTATCCTTTTACATAGTTCATACATCAAAGGTTTTTCCAATTTTCCAAATTCTAATATATTGTGATAGGAAATGATGAGATTTGCTCCCTTCTTTGATATGGGCAATTCATTCCACAAAAGCAAAAAATGCAGATGGAAGAAAAGCAAGCAAGGGTATGAAGATATACTTCTCTTTCCACTGCCAAACCCTTTTTGTGAATTCATCTCTATTCATTTCAGTCCTCTTTATTCCTTCGGAAGCAAGCATTCTTTCAACAACCAACTGGGAAGAAAGAAAACAAAATTTTAGTGGGAAACTAAGAATATTCAACTGAATGACATAAGAAAAACAAGAACGTGGTATAAAATTCTATCTGGCAATATAAAATTGTGTAGTTAGAGACTGCAATATAAAACTGTGTAGTAAGAGACTGGCAAAACAATTGAATGACATAATGGTCAAGGTGGACCTTAGAAGAATAGAAGGCATTTAAAAAATAAAAAAAAAAAAGAGCTGAAGAAGAAATTCATATAGACAAAGATATCCTACAATAAATCTGGCCACAACTCACAAAATCCAACAATAGCAAAAATAAATCAGTGTCAACATTGCACATTTTCTAGGTCTCTTTTCTTCAATAAAATCGTTGATAATAAGAGCATAAGATAAGGAAGAGGAATCCAATAAAAAAATAAACCCAAGCAGATATACTAGAGAACTTATCAAACTATCATAGTCATGTACATCCATTAGAAGGCTCATTAAAATTTTATCTCATAATAAACAGAACAGAATTAATTTTCCTTAATAATTGTATAAAAGAGCAGCACCCTTACTGACTCTTGTGGGTTGTAGTTCAGTTAGTCACACAGTTGTCACCTGAAAAATTTTCAATTAGTTACTTTTCTGTTCACGTAGTTACACAGCTGTCACTGTGACATCATCCCCAGTGTCTTCTCTAACTGTTCTGTAAATATGTGAATTCATTTGATTGATAACAGTAGTTTTTTTATCTTTTCAACTCTCTTCCTACAAAAGCTTTTCTTCCCTTTTCCTACTAAAAGTTGTAAAATTTAAGAAGGGGCCCATTATTTTCATTTAAACACCCAGTATATACAATTTACAACTAATTCACAACCACAACAAGTCATCACTAAAAACTTCCTGTCAAAGCCCTAAAGCAAATTCACTAGAACACATCCAAACTATATGGAAAACTGACTATCTTCAGCAAACTCCCTAAAACATCTTCAAAATCTATCGAAAATAATGGTCAGAGTCAAGCCTAGAAAGAAAAAACATGTCTTACAATCTTATGAGCTACTGCTATAGATAGATAGATAGAGGGGACAAACAAACAAAGAGAGAAGTAAAATCAATAAAAAAACCAGCACAACAATTAACAAACCTGAGTTGCAATTCCAGCATGATCAGTCCCTGGAAGCCAAAGCGTTGGCTTTCCCTTCATGCGGTTGTACCTAATCATAATATCCTGCATGGATATATGGATAAGCATGATAAGAAAAACATACATGTATTACACACATAAAATGTAAAATGTTTACAGATCACCCACAACTCAGTCTCACTTAACAATTCGAGACAAGAGAGACATAAAATGGGAGAAACTAAAGCGTTTCTTTTTTTTTTCCTATTTGATATTAAACACCCTAAACACACAAATAACAAAGCAACCAACCAAAAAAATATATGGCTTAAAAATGTTGAATGAGTTGAATCGGAAATTCATTGTTATAATTACCGTATTACATCATAGAAAAAAGATGAAACCTTAAGAACCAAAATACAGAAAATACGCTTAATTGCATTACTGTGTGTNAAGAAATGTCCATATTTACTAAGACGGTCTACTTCTACCAAGACAGCATCATACCCGTGGGATTTCGGCAACTTCACTATAAAATCCATACTTATTTCCTCCCAAATGGCGTTGGTTATGGGCAAAGGCTGCAGCAAGCCCTGCGGAGAGGATGACAAATATTTATGTTGTTGGCACACCAGGCAGCTCGCAACAAAGTCAGTCACTGCCTTCTTCATTCCTATCCAATAAAGTGATTATGTCACCTTGCGATAAGTCCAATAAACCCCTAAATGCCCTCCTGTCTAAGTCGTGTGAAACTCTGCTATCAGCTTAGGTACCCAGGCCGATTGAGCTGAAATCACAAGCCTCCCTTTATAGTGCAAACGGTCATGTTCTAGGTAAAAGATGGATGCGAGTTGGGGTCCTTTTTCAGGTCTCCTATCACCTTCTTTAGTACCTGAGTACGTAAACTTGCCTGACACAACCTCTCACACACTCACACAATAAACAATGGTGAAACGCTGAATAGACCTCTTTATTAAATGGAAATAACTGTATCAAAGGAAATAAACAATAACTAGGAGCAGGGTCTCGGTCAGTTACCTGAGAGCCTAACCTCTCTTACAAAACTCACAATCAAAAAAACATATCTCCTCCCCCTAGGTTTCCCCTATCTTATTCCTAATCACTCCCTCTCGAAAAGGTAAAGAATAAAAGTAATTACGCCTATTTATTATGATTATCTGGTAAGAATATCTTTATCCTTATTTACCCTATTTAACTTATATGTAATAATATCCTGAGATACGACCATAAATTCTAATAAATGTCCCGCCCATCCTAACTGTTGTGTCAGTTAGGATGCTCCCCACTACTCCCAACCGTTCGGTCCTCTTTCTCTCTTCCTTCTACCGCTCGGCCAGGTCCCTCTCCACCTTCTATCATTTGATCCGCTCGCTCCCTGTTATTAACCGTTCCGCCATCGTGCTCCACCCTTTCCACCGTTCGGCCCATGTCCTCTACCATTCGGCCATTGTGCTCCACCCTTTCCACCATTCGGCCCATGTCCTCTACCGTTCGGTTCCCTTCTTTTTCTCTCCTATATCTCTTTCTCTCGTATACTTGCTAGCCCCTAACATACTCAGTACAAGTTGGGTGGGAAATAATTAGAATAAATAAAGGGAGAGTCTAAGGTTAAAGGCAGGCTTTTGATTTGAGAGTTTAGTGAAGGAGGTTATGCTCCAGAATAATTGACAGAGGTTATGCTCCGAATTATTGTTTACTTTTGTTTATTCAGTTATTCTTATCAATAAAAGAGGTTTATTCATCCATTTTCTATTATCTATTTGTCTGTGAGAGTGCGTGAGAGATTGTTCTGGTTAAGTTTCGTACTCAGGTACGTAACAACTAGGTTCATACAAAAAAATGCCAACCAAATAATCCTGACGAATCCCCTTCAGAAACCCAACATATTGTTGAATATAATCCTCCATCAACACCAATTGGCGCAACCCAATTAGAATTTCAAAAGGATTTTGAAGCATTATGGGTTAAAAACGGCGGACAACGACTACCTTCAATGCTTCCCACGTAGGATTTGGATTGCAGATTTCCCACCACTGAAACTAATTAAGGCCCTCCCTTCCAAAGCAAGTATGACAGCCTGCATTCGTTCCTCCTCAATAACTTCCTTCAATCAAAAATAACATTCAAGACAATTAGTCCAACCATACACCTCCCCGCAAAAATTGGAATGTTCAGTTTCCTCCATTTTGAGGAAGACAAATGATGACTTGTCTCTTCCTCCCAATGTGACCCTTGACCAACATTAATCACTAAAGCAGTTTCTATTTAAGAGCAATTGCTCCTCTATGAATAATATCAGAAACAGTTTTCTAACAGATTCGTCGTAGAAAACCTTCAGAATTTAAACCACTTTACATGGATATCATGTTCATACAATTGTTGAAAAAAGATCAAAAAAAGCAGTTAAATCCAATTTATTCAGCAGTGATGCAGCTATGTTTCAAAAATTGCTTAAAAAGGGTCTTCAAAATACTAGTACCCACTTCCACTACTACAATTGCTCAGAAAGGTAATCATTTTGCAGGTTTTCATGTCCTCCACCAGAAAATAAGCTCCAAAGTTCTAAAGTGATTTGGAGCCTCATAACACATGGCTGACGATATTCATGTATTTAGAAAAGACACCAATTCCACAATAATTTTATTGTACGTAGTAGATAGAACAACTTCTAAAGTGATTGGTAAAGGTTTTGTGGTTACTTCTGACATCACTCTTGAATCAGTTTTATGTCCCTAAATTGGTCTGCAACTTACGGTGCAGCAGTAAATTAACCTGATATTTAAAATGCAAAACTAAATTTCTTCCGCACATGAAAATTTGAGGATCATGACTCAAGTAGGAAGATTGGCAACGCTAAGGAATGATCAGAGCGCTACCATTTCAGGTCAGAAGATCGAAAAAAAAACATCAATACTGCCCATGTGTAGTTGCTTGATCAATGGATATAGAATACCAATCTCCCCTGTAATCGCAAAGAGATTCCTAAGCGTTCAATATTCTTGAGCAAAAACAAGAATCTGAATGCACACTTGAGCATGGGTGTTCTTTGCATTCTTGGGATGAATTCACTTGTCCATAAAGACAACCTTAGGAGAACGGATGTAGATACCAAGAGCCAACCACAAGAAATTTCCTCATGTCTACTTTACAAGTGGGGGCATTCCATAATTATTGAAACAGTTTGCATTTCCAAAAGGGGTTATCCACTATCTATTTTTTTCTTTTTTGGCAACATATGCATCTACCGGTTAAGTTACCAGAAAAAAAATATTGTGAAATAAATGTTACTGGCAACAATTTTTTAAAAGAAAATTATTAAATCAATGGTAACTTCTTATAGTTTTTGTTGGAAGTCCAACATCGACAAGAGATAAGGTCAATTTAGAATATATATATATATATATATATATATATAAGTGCAAACCTCACCTTACAAGCTGATTTTGTGGGGTTGAGTTAGGCTTAAAGTTCACTTCTTAACATGGTATCAGAGCCATGGTTTAGTATCTATTCTAGCGAAATTTGATGTTTATTGGGTCTATTTTTCCATCCGTTGTTAGGTCACTATTGGACCACCCATTAATGTTTAGTCTCACGCTTGAGATAATATACCTCGGCATGAAGGGGTGTGTTGAAAGTTCCATATCGACTATAGATAAGACGAATTCACAATATATATGTGGATGCAAACCTTACCTTACAAACCGGTTTTGTAAGATTGAATTAGGCTTAAAGTCCACTTCTTAACAATAATCAAAAGATTCTTTTTAGATCAGATTCTTATCTATTGACATTTATCCTTTTACATAGTTCATACATCAAAGGTTTTTCCAATTTTCCAAATTCTAATATATTGTGATAGGAAATGATGAGATTTGCTCCCTTCTTTGATATGGGCAATTCATTCCACAAAAGCAAAAAATGCAGATGGAAGAAAAGCAAGCAAGGGTATGAAGATATACTTCTCTTTCCACTGCCAAACCCTTTTTGTGAATTCATCTCTATTCATTTCAGTCCTCTTTATTCCTTCGGAAGCAAGCATTCTTTCAACAACCAACTGGGAGAAAGAAAACAAAATTTAGTGGGAAACTAAGATATTCAACTGAATGACATAAGAAAAACAAGAACGGGGTATAAAATTCTATCTGGCAATATAAAATTGTGTAGTTAGAGACTGCAATATAAAACTGTGTAGTAAGAGACTGCAAAACAATTGAATGACATAATGGTCAAGGTGGACCTTAGAAAGAATAGAAGGCATTTAAAAATTAAAAAAAAAAAAGAGCTGAAGAAGAAATTCATATAGACAAAGATATCCTACAATAAATCTGGCCACAACTCACAAAATCCAACAATAGCAAAAATAAATCAGTGTCAACATTGCACATTTTCTAGGTCTCTTTTCTTCAATAAAATCGTTGATAATAAGAGCATAAGATAAGGAAGAGGAATCCAATAAAAAAATAAACCCAAGCAGATATACTAGAGAACTTATCAAACTATCATAGTCATGTACATCCATTAGAAGGCTCATTAAAATTTTATCTCATAATAAACAGAACAGAATTAATTTTCCTTAATAATTGTATAAAAGAGCAGCACCCTTACTGACTCTTGTGGGTTGTAGTTCAGTTAGTCACACAGTTGTCACCTGAAAAATTTTCAATTAGTTACTTTTCTGTTCACGTAGTTACACAGCTGTCACTGTGACATCATCCCCAAGTGTCTTCTCTAACTGTTCTGTAAATATGTGAATTCATTTGATTGATAACAGTAGTTTTTTTATCTTTTCAACTCTCTTCCTACAAAAGCTTTTCTTCCCTTTTCCTACTAAAAGTTGTAAAATTTAAGAAGGGGCCCATTATTTTCATTTAAACACCCAGTATATACAATTTACAACTAATTCACAACCACAACAAGTCATCACTAAAAACTTCCTGTCAAAGCCCTAAAGCAAATTCACTAGAACACATCCAAACTATATGGAAAACTGACTATCTTCAGCAAACTCCCTAAAACATCTTCAAAATCTATCGAAAATAATGGTCAGAGTCAAGCCTAGAAAGAAAAAACATGTCTTACATCTTATGAGCTACTGCTATATAGATAGATAGATAGAGGGACAAACAAACAAAGAGAGAAGTAAAATCAATAACAAAAACCAGCACAACAATTAACAAACCTGAGTTGCAATTCCAGCATGATCAGTCCCTGGAAGCCAAAGCGTTGGCTTTCCCTTCATGCGGTTGTACCTAATCATAATATCCTGCATGGATATATGGATAAGCATGATAAGAAAAACATACATGTATTACAAACATAAAATGTAAAATGTTTACAGATCACCCACAACTCAGTCTCACTTAACAATTCGAGACAAGAGAGACATAAAATGGGAAGAAATAACATTGTTTCTTTTTTTTTTTCCTATTTGATATTAAACACCCTAAACACACAAATAACAAAGCAACCAACCAAAAAAATATATGGCTTAAAAATGTTGAATGAGTTGAATCGGAAATTCATTGTTATAATTACCGTATTACATCATAGAAAAAAGATGAAACCTTAAGAACCAAAATACAGAAAATACGCTTAATTGCATTACTGTTTGTCATAGTCTATATAAATAACATGCATGGACTATAAATCAAATGAAAAATTAAAACCTCAAGTGTCACAAACATGGCATGGCCCATGTGCAGAGAACCAGTAACATTAGGTGGCGGCATCGGTATCACAAAAGGATCACTTCCCCTGTCAAAGTTCGGCCTAAAATACCCTTGAGACTCCCACCTAGCATCCAATAATCAAATCAAAAACATAGCTCANTCAAAATCTATCGAAAATAATGGTCAGAGTCAAGCCTAGAAAGAAAAAACATGTCTTACATCTTATGAGCTACTGCTATATAGATAGATAGATAGAGGGACAAACAAACAAAGAGAGAAGTAAAATCAATAACAAAAACCAGCACAACAATTAACAAACCTGAGTTGCAATTCCAGCATGATCAGTCCCTGGAAGCCAAAGCGTTGGCTTTCCCTTCATGCGGTTGTACCTAATCATAATATCCTGCATGGATATATGGATAAGCATGATAAGAAAAACATACATGTATTACACACATAAAATGTAAAATGTTTACAGATCACCCACAACTCAGTCTCACTTAACAATTCGAGACAAGAGAGACATAAAATGGGAAGAAATAACATTGTTTCTTTTTTTTTTTTCCTATTTGATATTAAACACCCTAAACACACAAATAACAAAGCAACCAACCAAAAAAATATATGGCTTAAAAATGTTGAATGAGTTGAATCGGAAATTCATTGTTATAATTACCGTATTACATCATAGAAAAAAGATGAAACCTTAAGAACCAAAATACAGAAAATACGCTTAATTGCATTACTGTTTGTCATAGTCTATATAAATAACATGCATGGACTATAAATCAAATGAAAAATTAAAACCTCAAGTGTCACAAACATGGCATGGCCCATGTGCAGAGAACCAGTAACATTAGGTGGCGGCATCGGTATCACAAAAGGATCACTTCCCCTGTCAAAGTTCGGCCTAAAATACCCTTGAGACTCCCACCTAGCATCCAATAATCAAATCAAAAACATAGCTCAAAACAAAAACATTCAAAAATACGAGAAGTTGTAGTGCACTTTGAGATTCAACCACATGCCAAATAACTAGAAAAACGTATACTCTTCAAACTTTGAACCCTTACAACTTAAAAGCCAACAGAAAACAAGGCAAACCAAGAATGAAATCACTAAGACTCAAAAATGCACCAAAACCGCCAGAACCAAATTTTGTATTAATACAAAACATCAAGGGATAAAAACTAAACAATTTTAAAGCACAAACTTATATCTCGCAAAGTTCTTCCGCGGCAGAAATAACATCCAAATAACTTTTTTATTTCGCCAAAACAGCATATCACTGATTTCAAAAGCATACTACCAATTGTATATGCGTTCTTCCGAAGCAAAGTCGAAGGACTTGGCAATCTCCGGAGATTTAAAGACACCATTTTCTTGTTCTGGCGCAACAGCTGAAACACAACAAAGGAACGAATTTCACTTTTACGTTAAACCAATCCTACTTCGTTGTAATGCAATAAAAGATAGAGTTATATAGAAGTAACAACCGAAGAGATAATGCAGTTGGAAAGAGGAGGAAGAATTAGGTGAAGAGAACCTGAAAGGTTACGGGGAGTGCGAGAGAGAGGAATGCGCCGACCATGAGGGAAGAAGACAAGAGAGTTGCGAGAAGAGAAGGGACCGAAGAGGCGAGAAGAGAAGGGACAGAAGAGACGAGAAGTAGAAGAAGAGCAATACGAAGCTGATAGAGAGAGCATCGTGGACATGGTTGACGGTCTCACTCACAGCAGCAACGGAAGAACCATTTGGCTAAGCAGCACAAGTGGATATGATGAGGAGAGGAAATGCCAAACCTTGCGGGATCAATAAATGGTACTATTATTTTTATATTTTTTTACTTATATTTTATATCACTATTTAACTTTTTAATCTTTTCCTTTTTTTACAAATATAAAAATTAACATTTTTAATAATTAAAATAATATTTTAAAAGTGAGTTGTCAACTGTATATTTAATATTAGGTTTAATCTTCTTGGACATTCCTATTTCTGTAGGATTTTCTCAAATAGGTCCTCGTATTGTAAATGCTCTCGATTAGGTTCCTTATTGTGAAAAATTGAATCAATTTAGACATCGCTGTTAGTTTCGTATTAACACCGTTAAAGGAGGTGACACGTGTCAGTTCGTGGTTTTTTTGAATTTTTAATTATTTTTTATTTATTTTTAATTTTTTTTAAAAAAAATTTAAAAAATGCCACATGTCAAACTGATATTGTGCCACGTGGCAATGACAGTGTGACATGGCACTGACAGTGCCACGTGTCATTGTCAGGCCACGTGTCATTGCATTAGTCTCAATTTGATCCCTGTATTTTTATTTTGTCTCAATTTAGTCTTAATTTTAAAAATTAAGCAATTTTGTCCCTCCTCAAATTCAAACAAAATTTAAATTGTATATAAATTTTAACTAATATTTTTATTAAAATTGATACTTTTATATAAATTTCCAAAGGAATTAGCTCATTGAACAAATTATTAATGTGAAATTTCACTTTTTTTTAAATAAAAAATTGGAGAAAGTTTTGGTGAAAACAGTAATTAAAGGTGGTTTCTTCTTTCATGATTTTCTATGGAAACTTTCACTACAAAAATTCACACCAACATGTTATGTCACTCTTTTTTTAAACCCCTTATAGGTATATTTAAATAACATAATTAACATTTATATGATTAAGTAAATATAAACATAGTTAAACTTAATCTTGTTAAAAATATTTAACAAAAATATCAATTTTAATAAAAATATTTGTTAAGATTTATATACAATTTAAATTTTGCTTGAATTTGAGGAGGGACAAAATTGTTTAATTTTTAAAGTTAAGACTAAATTGAGACAAAATAAAAATACAGGGATCAAATTGAGCACTATAAAAATACAGGGACCAAATTGAGACTAATATAATGACACATGGCCTGACAATGACACGTGACACTGTCAGTGCCATGTCACACTGTCATTGCTACGTGGCACAATATCAGTTTGACAAGTGGCATTTTTTTAATTTTATTTTTTAAAAAAAACTAAAAATAATTAAAAAATTCAAAAACACCACGAACTCACACGTGTCACCTCCTTTAACGGTGTTAGTATGGAACTAACGGCGAGGTCTAAATTGATTTAATTTTTCACAATAAGGGACCTAATCGAGAGCATTTACAATACGAGAACCTATTTGAGAAAATCCTACAGAAATAGGGATGTCCAAGATGATTAAACCTTAATATTAAAAATGACAAATGATTCTCAAAAGTTTTTGTTTATTCGGTTCTCATGGCCCTTGTTAAATTTTAGAAAAAGGAAATTCCGCCCTTTGATTATTAAAAGCCCTTTTATCTAGTAATACTAATGAGTCTTACTCGAAGCTATCCATATTCACTCGGAGGAGAGGAATTCCGGAAGAGTCCTTAAATGGATTTAATGGATTTGAGAATGAATTAATTGTTGTTTATTTGATTAGATTTTGAGGTAAATGAGAGTGGATTTGGAGGTAAAGTTTATGATAATTAGTATACGATTTGATTAATGTGACAAATAAAAAAGTGTTTAATTGATAGAAATTGAATATTATCAAAATGTTCCTAGTTATTAAAGTAATATAAAATAATAATTGTCAATGTTATATTTAATTCTAGAAGTATTTATAAAAATAAAAAATTAACATTAATTATTAAAATTAATTTTAATATTGTACAAAAATTTTATTTTAGTAAAATGAATTTATTTTTAATTGTAATATTATTTATTACCAAGAGGTATGATTTTATTTGTTAGAAATTGAATATTTTTAAAGAAAGAAATAATTAAACAAAGAAGTTATAAGAGTTAAATCACTACAAGAATAATATATTATAGAAGCGGTTCTTTTTCTGCGGTTTTAAAACCCCATATAATTTTGAGTAGTTTTAGATGAAAAATCTAGAAAACTTCAGTTTAATATTTATTTTATTTTATTTTTAAATTTTTCTGACAATTATAAAGAAATCGTAACTAACATTTATTATTTATTTACTTATAATAAATTTTAGGCAGTTTTTTTTTTCTTGAAACATAAACTTCTATTTACTTTTCCCAAATTTCGCATCCCGTATAATCATAAATTCATATTTTAAAACTCTGTCTTTTTAACTTACCCCAAACACGTCTGAATAAAGCAGAACAAAAACCCTAGCCGCTCAATTTCTTTCTTTCCCTCTATCTTCCAGGTTCTTCTTGCCATGGTTATGCGATTGGAGATCCTTCGTTTGGTTGGCGCCGACTAGCCCCCTAACTAGCGGCAACTCCGGCAAGGGACAGAGCCGCAAGTACATCGGTCCCTGTGGTTTGGTTCGTCGAAACGGGGATGGTAACCTCTGCCTTCAGGTTGCGCCCATAAAACAAAGAGAAGGTCAGTGTTTACCGACGACGGAAGCGGCAAGGGAGGAACGAGAGAATGGGTAAAGTGTCGCCGAAGGACTCTACTCAGCTTCGTTGCTCCAAGCCTTCAGGTTTGGCTTCTACTATGGGAAAAATTTGTTGCACTTGGAAGAAAAGGGTTGCGATGTTGCATGCCAGGAAGAGAGCAAAGAGCCATGAAGAGAATGTCAATAAGAGTCCTACAATGCTTCCCTGTAAATTTGGTCAATCACTATGCTGGTTTAGTTGAGCGCCAAAACCCCTAACCTCGATTCCCTTTTTGAATCCAAGCTCGAATCTCTTCCCTTTGAATTGCTTGTATTTTTCACTGGAATCAATTTTTTAGAGTTGTTAATTGCATGTTTGTTAGGGTGTTGAGGGTTTGATTTGAGGAAAATGGATGGGTGCTAGTTTTTCAGGAAGAAAAAAGAAAATATTTTTATATTTTTTTTAGGATTTAATTAGATTATGGGCGGTTTCTCCCTAAATCCCCAGAAATTTCGGCGATTTGTCCATAAATCTCCAGAACTTTCAGCGGTCAAACAAAAACCGCAGCCGCCCATCACTACCGACGCTGGATTTTTTGGCGGTTTTCATAGTCGCGGGAAGTNTTTCACTGGAATCAATTTTTTAGAGTTGTTAATTGCATGTTTGTTAGGGTGTTGAGGGTTTGATTTGAGGAAAATGGATGGGTGCTAGTTTTTCAGGAAGAAAAAAGAAAAAATTTTTATATTTTTTTTAGGATTTAATTAGATTATGGGCGGTTTCTCCCTAAATCCCCAGAAATTTCGGCGATTTATCCATAAATCTCCAGAAATTTCAGCGGTCAAACAAAAACCGCAGCCGCCCATCACTACCGACGCTGGATTTTTTGGCGGTTTTCATAGCCGGAGGAAGTCATTTTTTGGGGGTTAAAACCATCAATATTGACAAAAATAACCCCTGATAAAATTTAGTTTTTTTGTTGTGAATATGTTTTTAGTCCCTAAACTATCAAGCGATTTTGGTTTTCGTTCCTCTTAGAAAGGTTTGTTCATTTTAGTTCTCTTAGTTTTGAAACTCTTATGTTTAGTCCCTGAAATTGAACGACGTTAAGTTTTCTTTGATGTGGCAAACGGCGAGCCCACGTGTGATGCCACCTTCCCTTATATGTGTGTGTCACGTTGCTTTTCTTTTTTTTTTTAAATGTCACCAACCCAGAAACGCTTACCTTCTCCAAACAAAAACCCTAATCCTCCTCTGCCGTCAGCCATGTCGCGCTGCCGCAAGGCCGCCGCTGTCGAAAAGTTGTCATCCACCACGAATCCTTCAAGCTCTCATCGGACCACCACCATGAGCAATCATTTGTAGTCGTCGCGAGCCTCTACAGCCTTCATCATCAGATCGTGCAAGCAACCCCCAAGTCGTAGCGAGTTCAGAGCATGAGCATCCTCCTACGCGAGCCATCCTTCATCGTCCTTCATCGTCAATGTCGCCGTAGCCGCTATAGAGACCACCCAGAGCTTCTTCTTCGCGTCGCAAGCGACGTCGTTCAACCTCCTTCCACAACCAAAGGGGCAAATCACCACCAACATCCAGCAACATCATCTTCTTCCCAAATCGTTAGCAACACGAGTTCCGAGGAGTAATCCGAGTACAAAATGCGCATCTCCATCTGGAGGGATTGACAATGAACTACTACATAAACGTATGACGTTTGGAAATACTTTTCTCTGTAGGCTCTGATGTTTTCTTTTCTGATTTTTCTGGCAAGTTCCTTTTCTTTCTATCTTTCTTTTTCTTGATTAAAGGGGAGGTGGAGAGGTTTTCTTTATTTTCGTGCGAGTAATTATTGTAGGCCAAGTATTTATGGGTCGGTTTGACATACACAACACCAGAAGTTTCATGAACAAGTTTTATTATAGCAACCTACAGCCGATGGATTTTATTTTCTTGATTTGAATGAGGAATTTCAAACTATGTAGAATTTTCAAGCATTTATGTTTCTCAGAAGGAACATTATAATATTGGAAGTGTAATTGAGCCATATTGTTTCCATGTGGTTGATTGGATTGAACCTGCAATTGGTTTTACTGGAGATTTCAGTTTGTACATTTGATTATTATGGTGG